GTAAATCGGACCTGAAGTCACTAGAAAGTTGCTGTCCAGAATTTCGGGTATGTCGATGAACATGATTCCGACGATTAACTCACTAACTTCAACATTCCAACGCCGAACTTTCTTTGCAATACCTTCCGGATGTTCCTAATAATTGTTAGAGAGTTTATGATAAGTATTTGGGATGAAATAATATGAATTTTGGTGAAGAAAAACATGCCAACCCGAGGAGCTCGCCACCACTGGCGCAGTCCCGGTATTTTGGCCATATCTTCTTCGTTACTTAACGAAATCGCGAGCCGTTTGTTGGGTTGGATTCGTAACGCCCGGGGCTACAACTTTGGTTTAAGAACTATTTCGAGATAATGGATGGAAAATTTCAGTTTTTACCTTGAAGTTGCTGCTGCGTTTTTGGACTCAAAATTTGGAAAGTTTGGATGGTTTTCTTGCTCCTTCTTCTTCTTCCTTAACATACTACCATGGAGTTGGAGTTTTCTTTTCTTCTTCTTGTTGCTGCCGACAGAGAGAGGGAGAGATGGAGAGGAGAAGATGAATGTTGATGATGGTGGATGATGGTGAAGATTATGATGATGATGGTAGTGGTAGGGTGATATTATAGGGAAAAAGAATTGGAGGTATATGGTAGTGGGGTTGATTTGATTGAGGATTGGAAGGGATGGGAGTGTCTCTACGTGACTTGGAGGATTTTGGGGAATCAAATTTATTTTCTTACTCCGTAACTGATAAACTGACTAAAACGGTACGCGCTTTTTCGCCCAAACTGTTCCGAATTGAAAACAAATTGTATTTTTGGAATCAGACGGTCAAAACTAGAATTTTGACGTAATCAAAATATTTTTCTGAGAACTTTTATTTTTCTCAGTGTCCGGGTCTGTCTCAGTCATAATTTAATATAATAATATGAATGAGATAAAAATATACGAATTCAATCCAAATGATAAATATGATATTGTCAAGTGTCAAAATTATGATTTCTAATCTGATGAAATCACTTTTGAATTTAGTTTATTTTATGGGTCAAAGTTACAAATTTTACTATTTAAAATTGACATAACTTGAAATCTACAAATGAGATTGGTTTATAAAATGTACCGTTGGATTCGTCTCTTCGAGACATATCCATAAATATAACTTTTTAACAAAAAGTCATTATTTTGAAAATCCATTTATTTTTAGTCAAACGTACAAATATTCCTTATTCGATAAAAACTACTTTTGTTTTATAATAAATTTTTGGCCATATTTTGTGGCGTTACAGTTAATGAGCCTTCGTAACAATTCACATTCGAGCTTTGTCTCATATTTGTTTAATCATATTCGACTTCCTTACTTCGATCAAGATATGATAATGACAGGTTCGTTTTTAGCACTATGGTTATTCTCTAATTTCGAGGAAAGAAGAAAATATCTTCAGTATGTGATTCAATTCACGAATTTATAAAGTAAGAATTTTACGAGTTCTTATACCAATATCACATATAGGTTCAGAATTTTTGTTTGAATGATTCAGCTTGATCCTTGTGACGTCATTTCTTCTCTGGTTGTTGCACATACATTCCCTTAGTATGGTCATAACGGAGTTTGTTTGGTCAAATGAGATCATCGATAATAATCTTCAGAGATAACGTAATCGCATCAACCATTTTGTGGTTCACAAAGAGAGACTCAACATAATATTCCAATCAGAATGCTTTTACCGTAGTTCAAAGAGTGTAGTTTTCAAAGATCGGTGTAACGTATGTTGATGAATTAAGACAAGTTCCCAAAGGTTTAATATTTTGATACAACAATGGAATTCAATTGTTGATCAAGTGGGATTTTTTTCAAGGGTGTAGTTTAACACAGCAATTTTGAGTAATTCAAGGATATGAGTCACAAAATATAGAGATAACGTTTGCGAATTATCGTTACTAATCGTAGGTTTTCATCCTTCAACGTTTCACTCTTTGGCAATTACTCAAGGGGTCGTTGTCTTAGGAAATAGTCATTTTGACTTTTCGTCTCGGATTTGAACGTGTTTTAGGACAGCGAATCTAACTGTTTAAGAGTCTCAATACGTCATATCGTCAGTAGACTATAGTATTAGCGAGTACGTTCTCGTCTGCAGGTAATTTGAATCCATTTTACTGTACGTATTTTGGCTGGTGATATTAGTTTTCCATCAATGGTCCGGTTTTAGAGACTATATATATCACGATTATGGAAAGAGTATCTCACATTCTCAAAATATGGAAGGAACTTCTCGAACACTTCCTTACACCATAAGATTCGTTGGTCTTCTTGGCAGTCACTCTCTTGGTAGAAATCCAATGTTTATGGCTACTGCAGTAGATTTAGGAAGAGAATTGATAAGGCGAAGAATTAGTCTTGCTTATGGAGGAGGCAACGTTGGCCTACAAGGAGCTGCTGCTTCAACAGTCTTTACCAATGGAGGTCTCGTTAGAGGTTTCATTCCTGGGTACATAGCAACATGACGGGTCTACAGACCTACATACGGCATAGAGCACACAGTTTCCAGCAATTACTACAAATATTTTGAGATGAATCATGCTGTGGAAGCTTTCATCGTTCTTCCCGGAGGAGTTGACACCATGGAAGGTTTGTTCACCTTGATCTCGTGGGCTTCTGAAGGGTTACACAATAGACCCATTGGTCTCTTGAACATTGACGGTTTTTTCAATAACCTAATCAAATTTCTAGACGATGCAGTGAGGCAGAACTTCATGTCTTTGAGTCAGAGGAAACTTTTCATTTCTTCTTTCTTTGTTGGTGAGCTTTTAGACAAATTAGAGTTTGCTAAAGCTTTCCCGGGACCTGGGGTTAGTTACGATGAGTTTGTGAATCCTGGAAGACTAGACTTGGAATTGCATTTATAACTTTCTTCACGTAATCCAAGTTGTATTTTGTGTTTAAATAATATTATCCATAAACATCAAT